CCACAGGTACTGTTTGACGCTCCCGAATTCGATTCTCTGTCGGACCGTGGGGGAAATTGATTATCCGAATCTAAATCTGCCCCGTGGAGATCCTAGTGCTGCGAAGGCAGAGAAAATTTTAGAGTTGGCGCCGCGGGCCTTGTTTGGCCACCCACGCTGCTTCTTCTTTCGGGAGTGTGTTTTGTTTCATCTGTTTCGAGGAAAAAATAGGGTTCTTGTTTCTTTTGTTCTCGCTTCTGCGTTACGCGCAGAAACTCTGTCCATTTGCTTCTACCGCAGTCGCAGAAAATCCCTCGCGCGCCTTGGCAGAGCCGAAATGAAACATCAATCGGGACGGATGAAGTTGTCCGACCTACCGTGTGAGAGAAATAGAAAGCGCCAGAAGCATCCAAAATCCACATGCATGCCTTATTCAGTGTTCTTGGCCAGTGCTTCGAACCCCCCACCTTCTCACAGGCCTCGGCCCTTGGGGACAAGGGATACAGGCGCCTTTCTTTTCCGGTAGATCTGAGATTATCGATGCCAGTCTAGCATAGCAGTTGTTGAATTTCCGAGTTGCTAAGGACCCACACCCCCTTTTATTACAGTAAGTGCGTTGTATTGCTTAATTTAATGGGCGCTCACAGGATGTTAGGATTCCAACGCAAAGTTCCGGATTGGAATTCGACGAAAACCACCGAGCAGAGAAATCCGTCTCCAGTCCTGCCCCGTCCGGTTGCATGATCGAGCTTCGGCTCCAACAGACCCACAATTCGCATGCACGGGAACGGGAATGGAGATGAACGAGATGTGACGCGGATACAAGGATGATTCGGATTCGGATTCGGAATGAGGGTGAATGGCAGCTAACGAGGACGCGGAAAGGAGCTCGGAAAACACCGTGAGCGCAAGCAGTTCCTCGGATCTGTCCGGCGAATCCACTGACTTGCCGCGAAAATGGCCCGCTGCGAGTCGAATCGTTTCAGCGGCACCCCGAACCATCGGTGGAGAACGCTCAAATTTCCGCTTCCCTCTATCTGCACACCATTCTGACCTCCCTTCCACCCTAGAAGGAACCACGCCCGGGTGCAGAGGCGTCTAAAATAGGGGACATGAAAAGATACGTCCACAGATTCCAACATAATGTTCGTTCGTTCCCTAGTGATTAAATGCGAGTCGGTGGCTCCTGTTGAATTGTTTGAGCTTAAAGTGCAAAGATGAATACGTATTCGAAATCCGTAGAATTCAACAACGGTCTTGGATGGACCGCCGCGAAATGTGAGGTGCGGAACAACCCGAGTTTGAGCAGAGAATGCAAATCTTGATGCCTGCAAATCCTGCCAGCGTAACCATGAGTCGCGTCCCCTCCCACACACCTCCACACCTGGAACCACGCTGTCCGAGTCCGGTTGCAGTGGCGTCTAAGTCAGGAAAATAATGTCGAACTGCGTTCCGTAAGTTCATTTCTCGTTAATATGTCGTGCCTCACGGCCTGGACCAGATCGCTGCGTCATAGGGTGAAATAATTCATGTCCACATGGGGGCGCGTGCTGTCTGTCTTCTGTCTGTTTTTGGATTACGGAAGGTATGACTCGCCGGTTACGACCTTGAAGGGTTATGGAGGCGTGAAATAGACTTTGAACTTGGGGCCAGTGTTGCTACGCGCGACCTGAAAGACGCGCTAGTTACAGTACGCGACCTTCACGGCACTCGACGCTCGTGTGTGGTGGACGTGTGAGTTGAAGGCGAAGGTAAATTGAATTAATATGTGGATTGTTATCAAGTACGCTTCGGCCCTCGTATGGGTTCGTCATATATCGGGCGACGCGAGGAAATAAATTGTGCGAGGACTTGTGTGAGATGCGGGGATCGAGAACCAAGGTTATCGAGACCTTCGCATATGCGTTTGCGTTCCGAGCCGACGCATATCTGCGCAATGTACGGGGAAATATGAAACTTGAGGCGCTGTTACGAATGTGCGAGGTATTTGTGCGAAGGTACGCGGGTCCGATTCACGAGGCTCGGCGCTCATTCCTCCGTACATCGTGTGAGTGTGGGTATTCGGCGCGATGGAACTGAAATTATTGGGGGCGTCGTTACAAACATGCGAGGGACTATGGCTGGCGCGCTCCGGACTCCTTCAGTCCTCTGCTGGCGGGGGCCGAAGGTCAAATGCACGATGCCACGGTGAAGCAATAAAATGCTGAGGAGGAATTAGAAACTTGAGCGGCGTCGAGGTGACGGATACTTCGAGCCTGAAACAACATGGAGGATTTGTCGAAAATGTCTCGTCCGGAATTGCGGAAAAACAAAGTGTAGCGCTCGGGTACATCCGCGCCACCATCTCAGCGCCACCAGCACTGCACCCGACCACGTTAGCGCGTTGAAATATTTCGGACGGCGGCGCACCAACGAACTCGGATCCAGCATGAACGCCACAAGACCGAAAGAAGGGAACAAAATGATCGACAAATGGCGAGGTAACTGAAATGTGCGCTCAGCAAATCGTACAGAGTCTACAGACGCGATATGACGAGGGCGGGGATGAAAAGCGTGTCGTCATGATCAGCCCCGGCAAGTTCCGAGATGTCGTCCTTGCCGTTAAGTTGCGTTAACGTTGTATAACGTTGGGAGGTTGAAAGCTGTTGAAAGTTGAAACAATTGCAAATGATGAAGGAAGTGCCATTTTAGCCCCTCTAATGACAGTGCACCCTGACGTGGTAGTTTGCCCAATAGCGGACTCATTTTTTCACCTTACCCTCCAGGAAAAATCGGGGACCTGTATGACCATGCTTTACATCATTCTGTAAAACGTTTCGATGCCCAGACCCCTATATTGTACACTGGAACTCGAATGGTAGTTTGTGACACTTTTTTTGACCCTGCCAAAATACCACTGAATCTCGCTACTTACCACTTGGGGGTTCACTCTCGGAATACACATATTGTTCCACAGAGGTCGTTAAAAATTCTGAAAATATTGGAGCTTGTTGCCAGGATGTACTCGAGCTTAATTTTTCGTGCCGAGAGCAATATCTGCCGCCGACAAAGAATTGTTGAGTCACTACCATTGCAGGGGCTAAAATAGTAATAGAAATAAAAGAGTACGAGGACTGGTGGACGAATCCCAATCCAATGCGGGGCCCCTGCTCGAAGGTACAGCTAAGCTTTGGCAGGCGCAACTGACTTGAGACCAGGACCGGGATCCTGATCCCCTTCTGCTTCTCATGAATATAATGTGAGTAACAGTTGAACTCAAGAGGGAAGTGAGAAGAAAAGATATCGAAAATGAGAATATGATTCAACCCCCGATCAGTGGAAGACATGGCGCCACGCCTACGGACTTGACACCTGTCGGTGCCGGGAAGGTCGACAGCAACGAAGGCCAACGGCCTTGGTTTGGATGTTAAGATGAAGAATGTGAAGGAACGCCACTGAATGGGAATAATGTTAGTATGTCCAGTACTTGCCTGAGGTAGTCAAAAGCCCTGAGCCACGCGAGTCCAAGACAGGATGACTTACAGAATTTGGGTTTGTGTTGAGTTTCCGGCGAATGATTCAGCCACCATGCGCCCCAGTGGTAATAACGAAAGCTGAATAGTTGAGTCGTGGTTGAAAATTTATAAGCGGCGTCGGAACATGCCGGTGGCTGTGTTCCTACTTTGAACAGACGACGACAATTACGACTACCCATTGAAGTCTCTCGTTGTGCGAATAGGCCCCAAAATAGCGATGATACGACGCGGTCTCTCGCCCAAATGTAGATACTGTACGCTCGTTTTCAGAATTCAGTGCTTTGCCTACTTCCCTGCATCTGCATCATCTTTTGCCCCTTTCGGTCCCCGTAGTCCATCCTGTTCCCGTCCTTTTCGCTCCTGCAATCTAGGTCCTACTCGCGTCCCTCTTTGCACTCCTACTCGCGTCCCTCTTTGCACTCCTACTCGCGTCGGTCTCGCATTCTAATGCTCCTACTAGCGTCGTCTCTATGACGCGCGCATTACATCGCGCCATTCGCGAGTCATCTTGCAGTGTAATGGGGTCTCATTCAAGTGTGCGTCCACATCGACGCCCTCTTTCGCGTTGACGTGGCCGCCCGATGTGAAAGCAAGCACAGACGTACGAGGGAGCCTTCCACTTCCCGAATTTACGTGCCCGCGCAAGTGCCTCGTCTTCCTGACTTATTCAGTGCGTTCATTTCGGGCTCGCTTTTCCTGCGCCTTCCCTTCCATCCCGTCGTTCACAGCCAATCCCTACTGCCGTTTCATCTTCGCTTCCATTTTAATTAGTCAACTCGTGCGTCGTGTTAACCCAGTGCGCACCATAACGTCGTTTCCCCGCGCCGCGCCTACAACTGCGTGTACCCCCCCCCATATTTAATTCCTCCGGCGACGCGTCTATTTATCCAGAGCGGGTCCATCGAATATCTAAGTCATGGGATCGTTGGATGCGTCCCTTCCCTTCCATTTCTTTAATTGATTGGCGGCGTGGATCTACCTCGACGTCGACATCAGCTATGCGCCCTTCACGACTTGCGTCGACAATGTGAGGCACTGTGACCTCGGCGCCTATCGCTATCCAAAGCGAGGCACATTCTTGCAGTTCTCGTGCCTTGTATAGACTGTCGACGCCATACCGCTTCCGCTGTCAGCCGCCGACGCCCTTCGTTTGATATTCAGACGGTCCTGTTACTCTGACGGCTTTAATATTTACACTTCGTTTTCATCTTTGGATACTGCCACAGTCGATTTCAAATCCTGCCACCACTGGTGACCGATTTAATTGTACTCTTCAAGCCGAAACAAAGAGGGCAGAAACACATGGTGATTCAACCCCGATTTGAATAAGGAATCGCTGTACTATGACACTGGCTCATTGCTTGTCTCATCTGGGTAAAGGGACAAGAGTAAATTCAAACTAGTAATTCAACCCTGAATTAAAGGATGGTTTCCTGCCTGATCATTACAGCCAAGGAAACAGAATAAAAGTTAAAGAAGCAAAATCATGTCAATGATTGAAGCTTATGACCCAACCCCGAGTCGAACGAGGGCGTCCTGTTGGGCATACGCATCTGTAGCAGGCACACTAACCGCTGTGCCATTGGGACGTCGATACTCTTCTCATTTCGCCGGTTGATTGAATCCGAAAGAATAAAAAAGGATGGGGGTCAGGAAAACTTGAAGATGCTGAAGTTGTTATGAAAGGCACGAGAATTAAGCAAGAAGGCAGAGCCACAAAACGAACTGTCGCATTCTAGCCCTCAATTCCTGTGTGCCCAAAGTGAACGGCTTTGGCGGAAAAGTTGACTTTGAATCTCGCGCCATGTTGGGAACTTAGGGAGATAGGACGACACAGCCATGATCGGGATGTTCCGGAATCCGTTTCCAAGTCGGCTCTTCACTTCAAGTTTTACTGGAGTCCTGGTTCACATCCTGCGCTCAAAAAATGCTTGTAGCTCGAATCATATGTTGACAATCATAGACTCCGAGTCTCTTCAGCAAGGCCCAGTTCGTTCAAGTCAGCCATCGATGTCAACTATTCTTGCCCGTACCCACTGGGACAGGTCCGGCTCTTTTGCGAATTCTTTGACCTTCCAAAACGCGGGCACTCGAGTATCATTTTTATATTGCTGTGAAATAATGTGAATCGACGATGCACATCTCGGTTACCCGCTGTGATAGCGTCGTCGTTTGCTCTGCTCCATGCTGCAATGATCGTCACCCTTGAAATCAACAAATCCGGTTTGAATCCGGTTGAAGATCTGGCACAAAGGTGCCGGTGCGACACGCGATATCGTGCGGCCGTGGTCGGCCGTTAGGTGTCCCCGTAAGTACTACTGATGCACATTTTATTCTAAATTTTCGTCACCGCGTAGTATTTTTGAACTTGCAACACGCGCTTGGCGTTCAAATGCCCATGGAGGAAGATAGGCTGCCCGAACGTTTTATGTCTGCATCGGAACGCCGATCCTTGTATGAAACGCCGTCGGCTAGATGGTGCACGCGTGTGGGCCGGTGCGACTGAGAATAATATGTCCACTTGGACTGAGCTTCAAGGTGTTAAGTGGGTCACTCTTCTCTGTGTATACAATTATCTCCGCCGACGCGTCGGTGCGTTCGTATGTTTGACAAAAAAGACTTTCACAATAACAGCCTCGCCAGGAATAGCATCTCATCTCAGATTCCGGATATCATCCCGCTCGAAGCAAAAATGTGGGCAATCAGATCTGGCAGAGCAATAACTGAAAAGGCGAGTTTATCCAAAAGTATACGCTTCGCACCTCAATGAACAGACAGCACGCTCTGAAACAAATCTTAGGATAAAGGGGGGCGGGGGTCACCACGCCCGAAATAAAATAAACCAAGCCTGGTCGGGACGCGGACTCATTGTGCGTAAAGTAAGTAAGAATGCAAGTATTCGAGCCTGTTAGCAACTGATATAAACCGATTTTTATACTAGTTTATGTCCTCTGATTGGCTGGAAGTTGTGGAGCAGCCAATCAGAGCTGGTATAATATCATTTTCCACTAGTTCTTACCAGCATAAAGTGCAGAATCACAGATATACCCGAGTATGATCGCAATCCTGGAAATCGGTGCGGAAATCCCGCCTACCTTGGGTTCCAAACTTGAAGTTGAGCCGGACCAGTTGAAGTCTGAGTGTAGAGTGGGCTAAACCAGAAACTGGCATCAAGGATGACGCCAGTGGCGTTCCTTATGACTTTGGGTTCGAAATTTGAAAGGTCGAGGAAATTCTTTTGGGGTGCAAAGGACATAAAGGAAGGAAGTCCATCCGCAGTCGATAATCATATGCATGATCCTAGCGAAGGAAGGTAGGAAGGTATATTAGCCAGATGAGTCGGAACTGCAGCCGCGTCTTCCCCGCCAGGTGAGCTAAGGGCAACTAAGGCTCGAAGAAGAACGCGTCTTCGTCTTCGTGCGCGGACCGGGACATCTGACTCTCAGCGGTATCATTAAACTCGGCGGTGAGCATTTAACTCGAGGGTGCGAAGACGAGATCGCGTACTTGCTTGGGCCTCCACAAATTCACGATCCTGAGACTGGATGGCTGGCATAGGTAGCATATCGTCCCGCGCGTCACTGCAGCCGATCGGATTCTGCGCCTGTGCATCGGTCTGCATCCCACACCTTTTTACACTGATCCTCATCTGGCTGGAAATAGCTGGAAATCCCGCGGCGGAAGCGCCCCGCCCACCCTATGCGAATCTGATTTCTGGCGGGGTCGGCCCGTACTTGGCAGGCGCAAGCTAGTACCGATGCGGTCGATCGCGTGAACGCAGTAAGTGAATGCGTGGATTATCCATAAAAACCATCGTGCCGCGCGGCATGCCTGACATCCACGAGGGCCCATTTATTGCGCGAACCCTAGGACATCTCAGTACCCCATTCCTGGATTGTTCCCGTAAGACAAGACCGAGACGCCCAATTAGGCCCGATATGGGAGGTCCAAAGGAACATGAGAATATGAGAAACAGAAGATAATCTGGACGAAAGCCGTTCAAAACAGAACGATGGAAGACAACGTGCACACGCTGTAAGACCAGGTCTGGATCTGGCATTTACCTCAGGGCTAGCCCAGACCTGTCTTTCAATTTCTGCTTTTGCGACGTGCGAGGATCGATCAGCGGTAAAATGGTTTGGAGCAGAACAGTCGTTCAGAACTGTAAATACATGATGTATCTTTTAAGCGATTCCTGATGCTGATACATCTCCCATGTTCCCACAGTTCTTTCCTTAACAGGAAAAACCGCGATCTGCGTACCTACCCACGAAATAATGCTGGTGCCCATTACTTCACATTTCGCCCTATTTTGTGTTTACCCTGCCCGTCTCTTTCATTGCCGAATATTAAATTGCCGTTTAGTTTAGCAACAGCCCCAAAATGAAAATGGGTTAAAGAACTAAGCGAGAGTAAAACAAAGCGGGAAAACGGTGCGAGCTCGTCAGCTCCACAATGTGATACATTTGAGGACTTGATTGACAAAAACTCATTGTTGGGCTGTTGCCAAACCGCTGTATTTCTGTTGCAAGCCCATCTGGAAACATCGGTACCACCGCTGCGGATTCCGTGTATTCAGAAATTGCGTGATAGACAGCGCGATATCGCCTAGCCCGACGTGGAGTCGGAGCGCCCATCGCGCAATACATTTTCTTTTGTATTGTTCTCTCCGTTTCCCCGACATTTCAGCGAGCCGCTGGCAGTTCGGCATTCTCGGTGCGCGCCGCCCGCCCAGGATTTTATTTGCTATTTACTCCCAGAATTCGAAATACGTTGCATCCATTCCGCAGCCTTATCTTCTCGCGTTCTGCACCCACCGGTCCTCCTTGAATGCCCGAGGTCGTGTGCGAGGTTGGTTTTGGCAACTAAGAATACCCATATGTACAGCTGGTGCGCTTCGAATCTAGGACGCGATCCGGGTATTTGGCGCCGCCTCTGTACATAATTTATTTTCAAGCGCGCTACGGTGTACGGCTGCCCTTCAAGTTTTTTGGAGCAATTATATGGCCTCCGTCTTGGACGTCTTTCTGCTACGCCGTGAAAAGACATACACCGGAAGACACGAAGACGACCCTTCACCACGGGAGGTCGTAATTTCTGATGTTGTTCGCGCCCTAACTGTTTTGAAGATACCGGTGGGTACTGGTGAGTGGGAGCTATTATGCTGCAGATTTGTGAAATAACTTTCTGCCATGCCCCTGGAACAAAGGCCCACAGAAGGAGATCTCTGAGACATGAAGATGTCCTATAGTCTTTAATGTTGTTCCCATAATAATTTCAAGAATACCGGTGAGTAGGGCTGCTCAATTCTTAGCTCGTCCCGCCCGTCCCGTAAATAATTCATAAATAATTGATCAGATTTCAAACTCCGCTCGGTCGGCGTCGATACTACACACACGCTTCGCACCTCCCAATTGAACACCAACTCAATCGGATATTCTTGCTCAAAATATGCTTCAATGTTCTTATCGGACGACCCCGGGCCGGATGACGCTGATTTCATTTCATGTTAAATCGTCACCTCAAAACCGTGGAAGCACATAAAACACTAAATAATTCAGTGAACACCAGTAGAACATGTCCGCCCCGTATGACCGTGCGACTTTCGGATAAAAATTTAGGTAGACGGCCTCAAGAACGATTTGGTAGATGGGCCAGAAAGGCCATTGACGCTGCCGGAGCGGAGTTTGAAATCTGATCAATTATTTATGAATTATTTAGGGGACGGGCGGGACGAGCCAAGAACTGAGCAGCCCTAGTGCTGGTCCACGGCATTTAACGGAGGTATCAGGCAGAGATTGCGCTGGTACTTCCATTGAATCTGATTTTGATTCACCCGCCGAGTTAACATTGGGATATTAGGTGTGTTTCTCGGATTTTCCGTTCTCGTTGTAACCTTTGATCCTGGACACGCTTAAACCCGCAGCAGAAAGTCTAGAAATTTCCCACTGCAATTTCGCAGAGACGTGGCTCAGGATTCTTGTCTGATGGTTCACCTCTAGGACCAAATGGCGCGGCGTATTCATGAAGCAATTCTAGTGAGACCTCAAGAATAGAGGAATTTTCTCCCCGCGAATCTCGGCTTAATGCCCATGGTACCTAGACTCGTAACCAGTCTGCCAGGTACGGCAATTCTTAGTGCAAGCACTATGCCGTAGGCAGACTGGTACAACTCGGACCAAACAAAGGGCTGAGCACGGAGTTTGAATCATTTTTCTTCTTGGCTACATTTTGTCAATTCATCTCGATTGCCCAAAGTCAAAGGAGAGAGATTAATCTAAGAAGACTCTTCTATCATTCCGCTGGCTCAAAAAATCTAAATATGATGCAGAGGGTGGGTTGTGGACACTAGGATTATAAGGGAAATGATGGCTCTGCGCAGCCACCGTGATGCCGATGATCGGCACTCGCCAAAAATTTCAAACTCAGGCTCAGGCCTTTTGCACAGCCCGAGTTGTACCAGCCTGCCTACGGCACAGTGCTCGCACTAAGTATTGCCGTTCTTTGGCAGGCTGGTCACGAGCTTACATGGTACCTTGACAGACCGAAGAGTTCGACTGACGTTCAACTCGAATAGTGATGACTTCCG